CCCCAAAACCCCAAAACCCCAAAACCCCAAAACCCCACGAGAAATTTAGGTGAATGAAATTAGAGTAAATTGCTGTATTGGTGGAGGTTGTGGGGGTTTAGAGGATGGGTCTGTAGATTTTGGTGGTGTCCATGGTTTTGAGGGTAGCGAGGTCAAGTCCGTGGGTGGATATGGAGGGGAAGACCTTGCAGAGGTCGTTAAATTGGGCTTCAGTGTACTTGGCGAAGAATTTTCTTATACCTTCTGCTAGGCAAATTGTGTGAAAGAAGTCCATTCATGCATAGTCATCAGTTTCGCTCCATCTGTTGTCGATTTGGCTGATTTCGAGGAAAAACATTGGGCATCTGTTTAGATTTAAATACCAGTCGACGTTATGACTGTAAATCTTTTCATCAGGATCCTCTTTGTCAAGATCCTTATCAGCTTTGCCACAAAAGTATCACCACTCAGTACCTCAGTTAACACAAGTCATATGAGTACAGGCGTCATTTTTCATGCCTCCAATTCCTCATTCTGGACATTTTCTTTCATTTCCTTCAAAGAGAGCTTTATTCCATTCTTCTTCCATGACTTTGTATTTTACACAATTTTCATGATATTTGGAATCTTTAATAAGGTATTCCTTTCTCTCTTCACCAGCTGGTTTATCAGACTGTATTCAATTAAACATGACTGAAAATTCCTCTCAATAAAAACGTCAATAAAATTCATATGGATTTTCTAAGAAAAATCGATACAACTAATTAATAACCAAATCAGGCACTACTATCATTTCAGCACTTCTTTCTCAGCATAGAGGCTTCAAAATAAACCCTTATCGTTATTTCAGAAGGTTTTTATAATTCTACCATAACCTAGTTTAAATTCTTAAGAGACTTAGCAAAATATCTAACAGATTTCTGACTAAATTTTCCGATTTTTTTAATGAAATAGATCATTTGTGTGGATTGGAACATTTCAGGACTCTATCTTGGAAGACATGAATATGGAATAAACCAATAGGTAAAAATAAATGCTTTTATATTTAAAAGAAGAGTCTTTAAGTTTATCAGCTTTGCCTGATTAGGGAAATATAGAAGATCTATTTTATTGCAAAATTATTGTATCAATAAAAATTCATTGGGTATCTAACAGTGATGAATATCAGAGAAATTGGAAGGTTTAAAGCTCACTGTTGACTAAGAAGAGTAAACCTGAAGGGACTTGAGCCACTATTAGCATATTTGAACTATTTTAAACCTTCTAACGATTTAATTTAGTTTTGGCTGCTGAATAATCCACACAGAACATTTTAGACTAGAGATATTTTAAAAACCTAAAAGCTAAAGCTTTGTAGGGCTAGTGTAGAGGACTTACTTCGCATTCCTGGTATCAGATGGTGCAACTTTCTTTATTTGCAACCAGATTGTTTGCATTGAAAGATATTTGAGACTTTGCTTAATTCTCAAATTTCAAAGTAATTACAAAAAGGGCACTCCATCAGCTTGGACTTCTTTTTGTCCAAAGTCTCAAGAGCTTGATATTTCTTGAATATTTCAGCCTGAGATTTATTCATCAATTTAGTAATCTGAGATACATCCATCTTCTTAGATCATTTAAAGCATGCGTATGGGAGACACTTGATTGGATCAGATAGTCCACTCTGGATCAATCCTTCCGATCAATCATAACAGAATGAATGCCCTGTGGGACATAGAATCTGTTTTTCTCCTCCGTAAATCTCACATGAGCAGCAAACACACTCCTTGTACTCGTCTGAAGAACTAGTTGGGGAATCCATCATAGAAGAAATTTTTAATTATTGTTTCTTGGCAATCTGGCTTTTATGACTTGGGGTTTTGGGGTTTTGGGGTTTTGGGGTTTTGGGG